CTCCGTGGCTTTGCCAGCCATCCTTGAGACCGTGGAGCTTTCACGTCCTGGAATGGCTGCGGTGCTTTGAGCCTGTGTCCATTCCTTGGGGCTGCTCACACCACTGGGGTGACAGAGCTGTGGTGTCCCCAGCACAGCCTGGAGCAGGCGATGCTGGTTGGCTGGGTGAGTGTGGAGCAGCTGGAGCCCGGGTGCTGGGGGCCAACAGGGGGTCTGGGCATCCCTAAGCTCCATGATCAGCCCTTGTATTGTTTCCGAGGTGGTTGCAGCTCGTTGTGAGCCATGCAGAGGGAGAACGTGGGGTCAGTATGCAGCCCTCTTTGGGAGTTTAATGAGAGGGGCTCAGCCCAAACGGTGCCAATGGGCAATAAAAGTGCAAAGTTATTTTGTCTGTCCTGGTGTAAGGGAAGGGAGGTTCATCCCTGGCTGTGGCGTTCTCCAGCCTCTAGAAACTTTCAGTTTGTGTTTTCCTTTGCTCGCTTCCTCGTCCCACTCATCCTTGGTCCACCCGTTATGTAGGCATAGAGAGCTTGGAGAGGGGAACAAGCCTCTGGCAGCTGCATGTTACCTCTGCCCTTGAGCAGTGGAGTGGCAGGAAGACCAAAGCACAGGTGTAGCATTGGGATGTAGGCATAAAGCACTTGGCCAGCCCACCTCAGGTGCTTCAGGAGATGCTGTTAAGATTGGAGCTCTGTGCTGGTGCTGGGAGGAGCAGTGTCTGTGCTCAGGGCAGGATTGCCTGGCATGGAACAGATGAATGTGTCAGTGCTGATCAGGGTGAGCTGTGGTGCACGCAGGCTGTGCCGCACTGCCAGGACCTGGGCTTGCCCCAGTGATGTTCCTTCATTAGCACGCTGTGACCCTGCTCCTCACCCATCTCGCACCAAAGATGCTCCCCAGAATCCACTGGTGCCAGGAGCTGTGTGCTCACAGCAGGGCCCTGACACGGGACAGCTGTTCCTGGTGCACACGTATGGCTCTCCCTGAGGTTTTACACCCTTGGCAAAGAAGCAAAGAGGATGTCCATCTGTCCACCTTGCTTAGATGCTTCTGTTGGCATCTCCCTACTTGGCCTCTGACCCAGGAGCTGTTAAAAACGTGTAGAGTCCAAATTCTATGTATCTCCAGAGCCATTTCCTTCTAAGTGTTGTGATTACACCCAAGATGATGAAAAGCAGAGCAAATTGAAAGGCAGAACAACTTTTCACTCTGATCCATTCCAGGAAAGTTATAAAAATCAAGCAGATATAAGTCAGTGCCTGGCTTCTTGTGCACAGGCCCAGAGTCACAGTCACTCTGCCCTCTGTCCCTGAGGCAAACAGCCTTCCTGCAGACAGGGATTTGTCAGCTCTGGAAGCTCCTGCTTCAGCCCCATCACTAGTTGAGATGGAGGTGGGTTTGTGTGTGAGCACAGTCCAGTTGCTGCAGGTCTCAGCGGCCTGCAGCAGGTTTATTGTGGCTGGAGGAGGTGCAAATCCCCAACCCTGAGTGGGATGTGTGGGGGGTGTGAACCAGATGCAAATCTTGGGGCTGCCAGCACGGAAGGAATGGCTTGGGCTTCCAGTTCAGAACCAACCCCGTCCTCATGGGAACACTGCAGAATGAGGCTCCCTCCCTTTGTAACGTGCTGACGAACCTCCTCCATTTGCATTTAATTGCAGCTTTTCTTTCTATTGGAAGTTTTGGAAAATGGTCACGTTTTGTAAATCCCGTCTTCATCCCAGCCAATGATGCCAACAGAAATGAAGGAGAAGGGGTGATGCTCTAACAGCACTGCCCACGGGTGACTGGCATAGTGCCCTTGGGCTGACACCTGCCTTCCTCCATCAGGCAGGCACATTGGCTGAGCCCTCTGCCAGCCAAGGCAGGAAAGAAATTGTTAGTTTTTTGTTTCTATTGCTGGGCAGCAGGAATGTGCTGGTGAATTAACCATGCCCTCAATTCTATAGGGAATGGTAAGTAATTTATGCCCTAAGGAACAGGGGGTTGCTGCATGCAGGGAGGAGAGGAAACGGGGCTGTGCATTCAGGTCACACTCAATGAGGGCTGTCAGATCTCTTCCATCTAAAATGCTTCATCACACTATTATTATTTACCGAGCCCTGCTGCTGCTTGGAGATTTACAAACAAAAAAAGGTCTGAGCCCCTCGTCACTTGACAGCATGAGCAGCAAAATGCAGTAGAGCTAGAGGTGCCCCAGACCCCCTCCAGCAGGCTGCACAAACCCTGTGTGTTGGAAGGCTGCAGGGAAGGTGGGACTCGAAGAGGACCTTGAGGAGTGAGGGGGTCGCTGCACATATGCAGAGAGATTGATCTAGGCACAAAGCCAGCAAGGCAGAGGACAGCTGTTGGGAAAATCTGGGCAGCAACAGGAGCTGAAAGGAATAGCAGTGAAGGGGAACGAGGCTTGAAGGTCAAGATTCAAGAACTTTCTGGTTTCTGGAGGCTCAAAGAAGTGGAGCCTTTACCACCAATGTAGTGGAAATGCTAAGTCATGTCTTGATGCAGTGATGGAGCACCTGGTGGCAGGGCAGGACCAACCCAGGGGAGCTCAGGTGCATGTAATGTGCCTGAGTGACTGGAAGGGGTGGAGTCAGGATCCACCCCTTCCCAGACCTCATTTAAGGGTTGGCAGTGGAGGCATCTCTTCCTGGTGATCCCTGCCTACCTGAGGCTTCTAAAGGTATGCAGATCTTTTCTTTCCTTGCTGTGGTTGCAGCTGCTGCATTTGGGCTCGTTCTCATTTGCTGCAGCCAGAGACTTTGCCACCCTGTTAATTTTATGGTACTTTCTGTCCTGTTATAGCATTGCACAGCAGGAAAGGTGCAAATCTTGGAATATTTGCAAGTGGAAGTCAGGGCTAAAATCCAAACGTCTTTCCTCACGGTATCTGGAATAGTTGGCCACAGGAGGCAAATGGGGATTTCCTGGTCTGAATTCCTTCTGATCGTGTGTGACTTTGTTTTAAGCAGCCACTTGCATTCAGCATCTCCTGGGTCCCATCTGGAGCCTGAGTGGGAAATTGTGCTCCTAGCAGTATTTTGAGATGTAGAAGTCAGTAGTGTGGAATGGCTGCGAAGGATGCTCAGCGCGCAGCGAGCGGGCTAGACAAAATATGTCCTTAGGGCTCACCACTGTGTGAGCGAGGCAGTGTGATGTGTGATTTGTGGGCCATTAGTAATTCGACAAAGAGGCTGCAGTGGGGCTCGCTGAAGGACTCAAGCTAGACCTGCAGAAGCCTCCGTGGCATTATCATACAGAGCACTTCTCCCCATCATTTGCGGAGTTGAATTAATGTCATAAATCATGGGGCACGTGACAGACTGCATTTAGTTAGGCTGCCTCTTCTATATCCTTCCTGGAAACTCATCTAATAAGAGCTGGCCTCTGGCATGCCAAGGTTCAAACATCCACCATGTGTTAATTGCTGGCAGTAGAAGTACTGCTGGTTTTTTTGTTTTTTTTTTTTTGTTTTTTTGTTTTTTTTTGCCTTGAAATGTGGAATCCCTTCCTAGAATTGCACTGGGGACCAATAAAAGCCAGTGCCAGGTTTAATATATGCTATCTCACAAATTATCTGGACTAAATACAAGGACTGTGCACTACCAGAGAGGGGATATTCCCAGCTTAACACTGCTTCTGGGCCATGGAGATCCCAAGACATTGGACCTGAAAATTATGATTCTTTTACGTGTGTGGGAGTGGTTTGGCAGGAGAGCTTGGAAGTGGTCATATTTCCCTGAGCTAGAGAATTAATTGCCATAAAAGCTATGGTTTAGTAACCAATAGTTACAGCTGCTGGAAAGATCAGAAGGCATCCAAATAAATCAAATTAACTACCTCCTGTTCCATGCTTATGAGAGCTGAACCTTTCTGGGCAAGATCAGAAACGCAGTTCATCTGACCCGTAACTCTGCCACTTACAGAACCATGAGGGTGAAACGTCCAGAAATACAGACAGCTAAAACAGGAGAAGGTGGAGACTGCCTTTCTGGATGACGTGAGGAGGTGGTTCTCTGTCAGGAAACTTATATTAGAGGAGAGCAGTGAGGCAGTAGCCCGCTCCTGAGAAAGTCTTAGATTCATTGAGGCTGTTGGGCTGTGCAATGTGGCCGCCCACGTTACTGGGTAGCCAGTGATTCCTGTTAACTGCAACACTAGCTCTACTGCGACTTGCTTCTCCTCACCAGGCTCTCAGGCGTCTGATTTCCCAAGGCAGAGGGCTCGCCTCCCCTCGTAGCTCGTGTTTACCAGCATTTTCCCGTGCAGCTCTGGCCATTGCTCTACACATGAGTCTTGAAATGGTGCTGTAAATCCCAGCACACCCTGGATTTTGCGCTGTTTGCTGTTGTGTGCTGGTGAGAAACGTCAGCCTTACGATTAGCCCGAATGTACTCTTCTTTGGCCTCGTTCAGAAGACAAAGACCTCCCCGATGTGGGGATGCTCCACGGGAAGGGCCTGCGGGTACGACGGGCACCGCGCCTTCAGGAGGTTGCGGTGCTGGACAGCTCCGGCTCAGCGCGGGACCCCGGGGTGACGAGCGCGAATGGCCGCGCTGGCAGCGGCCCGGGTTGCGGCCGTAGCTGCTGTGCTGGGAGGTGCCTGCAGGCCCCAGGGATGGTCTGCTGCCGATATGTCCATCCCACAGGATCTCCTTTCCAAACCCTCCTGTTTCCTCATCCCTTAGCAATGTGGATTTCTAGTTCTAGCGTTCACATGAATCGGACCTGAGGCTGGAACAGTTTCTAGTCTTGCCCATATCGCTTGCTGCAGCTGAGACCACGTGTCTGGGGAATACGGAGGAGACCCATGCCTGAGCAATGCTGTGTCCCCATATCCAGCCCAGGCTGCTGGCCGCGTGGAGGAAGGGCAAGAACAGAACCCTTCCCAACCTGCCCTCTTCTGCCTGGCCTGGAAGGGCTGTGGAGGCATGGCCAGGATGAGGCCGTGCAGTGCAGCGGGCTGTGTTTGGTGACATCCCGCTTTTGTCTCCCCACAGGCCAACCCTGCTCCCATTATCGTGAACACAGACTCGCTGGAACAAGGGCTCTCTGTAAGTCTCCCGGTTTTGTTTCAATTCTTTTCAACAAATGCTGCATTTTCTTGGCTCAAAGGTGCCCAAAAGGCCCCAGCAAGATGGCAGAAGGGTCTGGTATCTGTGCCACAAACCCACATCATATCCCAGCCCCAAACCCTACTGGGGCTGTGCTGAGCAGAGCCACGGCTGCCAGCAGCTGAGCAGTGCTTGGTGATGGAGAGTGTTTGCAGCCACTGTGCATTTGGTACTCTTGGCTTGCTGTAGAGGTAATCCTCAGCTGGTTGCAGAGAGAGTTTGCAAGCTGCTGCAACACTCACCAGAGCATTTGCAAATCATTCCTGCAGGGAGGATGGAAGGAGCAAGGGTAGCCACTGTGGATATCTGCAGCACAGCTCCCAGAAGGGAGCTCGGTTATCAGTTTGTCAGGGCTTGGTTGGTCTTTGGACTTGAGGTGGATGGATTGCTCCTTTTGGTTGAGCCTTTCTCATAAAACATTTCAGGCGTCAGATGCTGAGTCAAAGCCTCCTGCATTCAGGAGGGAGTCCGTGCTTTCTGTCTTAGCATAGTGACCCTGGGTCCAGCAGCCTTACAGAAGTTGTGGCACGAGAGTGTTGTCATCTACAAAGGTTTCCTGCCCAAGCCCATCACGTGGCAGTCTATGACTGCAGGGAGTGCTGAAAGGGATCTGCATTCCTGCAGCCCACTGGGTGGCTATGCCTTGGTTTCTGGGGCTGTGAATTCCAGCCTGGAAATCCTCTTTCCTTCTAATTCTTGCCACAGCAGTGCAGAAAGCAGCCAACACAGTGCCAAAAAATGGCTTGTGAAGAACCCGTGTCCCACATAAATGTGGTCCTTCTTTAGAGCGAGGGTGAACCCTGCTCCATCCTGCCACCTGAATCATAAGGTTGGAAATACCACTAAGGTCATCTAGTCCAACCATCAACCCATGACCACCATACCAGTAAACAGTGTCCCTCAGTGCAGCATCTACCCTGTTCTTGAACAGCCCCAGGGGATGATGATTCCACCACCTCCCTGGGCAGCCTGTGCTGGTACCTCACCAATCTTTCTGAGAAGAAATTTTTTCTAATATCCAACCTCGTGGAGATCCAGGCTCTGGGGAAAACAAACCTTAACATCTCCCACTGGCTGTTCCAGGGGTCAGCAAAGGAGCCACGGTGGGGGCTTTCTGCAGAAGAGCACTCTGAAGTGGGAAGTCTGGCAGCATGCTCTCTTACGAAAACAAAAGCTGAAGCCTGTTGGTACAGTATTTGGAAGGGTTAATGTGACATCTTCCAGTCTTTAATTACTTAACTATTCAATGCTTTCCTTAATGATAAACAGATGGATGTGGTCTAGTTCCTTCCTGTTCTAGCTCCATTGATAACATTGGACTAGCTGCTGGGCTGAATTTGGCCCTGGCTGTTTATTAAGAAGCTTGCTCCACATTTGTGTCCCTCTGCCCACCCACCTCCATCTCCAGGAGCATGTGGCATCACATCCTGCTCACTGCCAGGGCTGGTGCTCAGCTTCACTGCAGGCTGTGCTTCTAGGTTGTAAAAATCCAACAAATTTTTTATCAGACTCCTGCTGCATTAAAGGCATTGCAGTCGAGCTGGACTCATACAAGCACCTGCTCACAGCCAGTTCCCCACTTAGTGTGCTTTGCACACCCAGGCCCCAGGCGTAGAGGAAGCATCAAGAGCACTGTTCCCATGGCAAGCAGCACTGTCTGTGTCCCAGAGCTGCCTCTTCGAAGCTGAACCCCTTGTGTTGTGTCCTCAGTGCTGCCCAATCCTGGTGCTGATTGTTGGAGCTCAGCCACGCGCCCAACCTGCACTCAGCACACAACTGTCCCCTTAATGTGGTGGCTGCAAGGCATGGACTCAGAAAGCAGAAGGATGACTGTTCCTGCAGGTTATTCTCCTTGCAGCCATTTGGGTTGGTTTGAGGAACTCCATCTTAGCCTTCTAAATTTGGTCCTGAATCATTAGCAAATTGCAAACCGTGTTCCACGTGCGACAGCACAGTGTTGGCCGGCTGAGCCTGCAGACAGCTTGCAGTAGCACTGGAAGGTGTGTGCATTTCTGTTTATTCAGTGAGTGTTAACTCTGCAGCCTTCTGTTGACGATTTAAATGTCATCATTTCTAACTATTTCCCTGCTGCTCAAAACGCGAAAGAGAAGTGAAGGCTGGAGAGAAGGCCTTTCCTTGAGACTTCAGGTGGGCTTCCTGCATGGGACAGGCTTAGAGCAATGATCCTGGCCCTACTTTGTTTGAAACCAGAGCAGAGTTTGGGTTCATGGTGGGGCTGTGTAGGGAACAGCCAGTGAGCTGTGAGCTAAGCAAGAGAAACCCCTGAGAAATGCGAGCAGAGTGGGGTGGGCTCACCCTGCCTCACAGCAACCCAGGGACATGGTTCAGGATACCCATGTGAAAGCCTGGAGCTGGGCATCACCCATACAAGCCCCACACGAGAGCCACACGTGCCAGCTCTGCAATGCTCTTAGCATGGAGGCAGCTCCTGAACTGGGAGGGAGCTTGGCAGAGAGTTGGAGGGGCAATAGAGGCGCTCCGGGTTTTGCTGTCAATGAGTAACCGGTATTCAGTTTTCCTGTGCTGGAACACTAGCTTTGTTGGCTTGTTCCCTTGGTTACGTGGTATATATTAAGGGCTCCATTTGGTTTCTTTATGCAATTAACTGGTGTTCTATTGTGCGGATTTTGGAGACGTAATCGGAGCAGGAACTTCACGTCCAGGCTTGGCTGACCTGGCACATGCAGTGCTGGGCAGGTGCCAACGTTTCCCATTTCATGACACAAAATGCTGCTCAGCATTGACAACCCCAAGACTTTCAGAAGGTTTTGCAATGGGGCCACGTCCTGGGGTGTCCCTGTGTCCCGTGCCGTGGGTCCCTGCCCTGGTGCTTCCCATTGCGGGTGGCTGCCGCTCTCTGGGCTGGTTCTGCTGGCTCTCCCCGCGGCTCACAGATTGTCAAAGTTTTCTGCACATCCCCATCCTGTAGGTATGTATGTGCTGTTCCTCTGCGGCCGTGGGTGTGCATATGGCTGTCTGTGTGGCAATAGCGTTGAATGCCAAAGCGGAGAGGACAACGTGTGTAGTAGCGGCGGCTGCCAGGAATCTGAGTTGCTGGAAAGCTGGGGGGAGGCAGAGCCACGCACAGAGCCACCAACTGCCTGGGGGCTCAGGCGAAGGAGGTGGCGAGGGGGGGTCGGCATGAGTCAGTGTGGTGGGGTGAGGAGGAAGAGCGGAGGTGGGGGGTCTTGCAGCCCCCACCCAAAGAGGTTTCATCCTCCCCTTCCTGCGCTGTGCTGGTGCTGGGCAAAGGGATGCAGCATCTGTGCCCCTGGGATGTTCCTGCAGCTGTCGATCATAGACTCTTAGAATTGTTGGAGTTGGAAGGGACCCTTCAAAGTCGTCTGGTCCAACTCAATACCTTAACAGCACGTCCCAAAGCTTTCTTTTCACCCTTATGCCCCATCTGAATCTCTTTTGTTTCAAGTTCCTTCTGTCTTTTGTTTCTGTTCCCTTCTATCACTCTCAGTGGTCACAGTGGTCCTGCAAGGCTCTGGGGCTGACAGTGCTCAACTCCCACCAGCCTGACACGTCCCAGCAGGTTCCTCTTCAACCACTGCTTGCATCTGCCTCTTCAGTCCAGTTTTTCCTTCTGTCAGTTCTTTAAGGCCAAACCCACCTCAATGCCTTCAACCTCCTCTCCTGGCCCACGTTCCCAAGCCATGATGCCATCTCCCTTCTCCACGCTCTCTCCATCCTCATCCCTCTTGCAGCATGGTACCCACAGTAGAGCGTGCTCTCCTTCAGCATTCCCAATGCTCACTACAAACCCATGGCATTGCTCTGAGGTCTGAGCCCCATTCCTGCTGCCTTGCAACCCCACAGCCTGCTCCCTCATCTCCCAAAAGGACTTCAAGTGTGAGGTTTGAGTCAACCTCTTCCCATTTTAAATATACAATTCTTTTTCAGCATTTTTTTTTCCCTATATTGAGGTCTCCATAGCTGTTCAGGACCTACTCTGATGACCCGGGGCATGCAGAGGAAGCAAGTATCTGGATGATGTCTTTGAAATTGCCACCTTCTTTTTCTGAGTGTTGGCAGAGATGGGGAAAATGGAAGGTTGTGGCCTGCACGCTTTGCTATTTCAGAGCCTACAGCTGCAGCTCTTTTGCTTTTAATTCACTGCCCATTTCTCAGTCCCTGCCCTCACCACCACATCCCATCACCTTCACCACGATGGCTGTGGGAGTTCCTTCAGGGCAGGGAGCAGCATCCACATGGCTTTCCTATTTTTTGTATCGGGGCGCCTTCTGTATATTGCACTCAACTCCTTTTGTGTCCAACTGTTTCAACAGAAGAGATGGTTCCGAGTTCCACATTAACAAAGCCATGCTGCTGGAAGATGTTAGTTAGGAGTTAGAGGCTACCAGAGATGTACGTTGTGTTGTAACACACAGACCATCCACAAGCCCTTCCTTTGCTTCCTGCAGCAGTGCATTCCCGAGGTTAATTACACGCTGGCTAACGAAGGCGTCGTTGCTTTGTGTGGAGCCCCTTTTCACGCCTCGCACATTGAGCTGCCGGAATAAAAGGGCTGAGCTGAAGTGCATTAAAGTCAGCGGGTTTGGGATCGTGCCCAGAGAGAGAAGCAGCGAGTGGTTGGATTTCAGGGCAGGGTTGTGCGACTGCATTTCTGACAGCCCAGGTTTTGGGGTGGATTCTCAAATATTCCGTGTTTTGGGGTGGACTCTCAGTACTGCAGTATCCTGGGATGTGCTCGGCCGTAACGCATCTCTCCCTCTCCGCAGGTGAACGGCAGTGATGGGATGTTCAAATATGAGGAGATCGTCCTGGAAAGGGTGAGTCCTCCCCATGGGCATCTCCTCCCACTCACACAGCGAATGGGCTGGGGGGGTTTTGGGAGGGGGGGCGGCGGGCCGGGTCCATCTCTCCTTCCCTGCAGCACAGGGGTGGGCTCACCGCTCCGCTCCCCCCGCACACCCCTCCAGAAGGGAGGAGGAGGGTTTCTCGTTCGCACCCTCGCCCCCTCACAGCCGCCAGCGCAGAGTTGGATAGGAGGGGGCTCTTTGTCACCGGCTTTGCTGGAAAATGGAGGCAGGAGGAGCTGCACTGGCGCACAAAAGGGGGGGGGGGTTCTGTCTCTCGCCTCCGTGCCCCGGTGCCCCCCCTGCCCCAGCGGATGGCTCTGCCTCGCCGCAGGCACAGAGTGCCGTGATGCTGAGCAATGAGGACAGGTTTTCTGGCAGCCTGGATTGCGGCGGGGCGGGGGGAGCTCCTGGCTGTACCTTCTGCTGTGTCGGTGGGATCCTGGCCACGCAGCGCTGACGTTGGGATAACGGTGGTTTTGTGGGGATGGGGACGTGAGCAGAGGGTCAAGTAGGGGCTGTGAGCACAGTGGGAAAAGATGGAGCAGACTTGGCTCCAATGCATCAGCCCCATGGGGTAAGCGCAGAGCTGCATGGTCCATCCCTGCACCGCTGCATGCCCCATCCCACCCCACACCCAGGAGCTCCAGCACCGTGCAGGGCCTCCTCCTCACACTTGGCTGGCAGCGCAGGGGAAGACGCATCACTCGTCCTCCTGTTCTTTTAGTCATCCCCCTCCTCCCCCCCTGCTCTGCATCACAGAGGTGGGTGGACGGAAGGTTATCCGGGGCTGCAGCCTCACCCACCGCTTCCCCATTGCGCCTGACAAAGCGTGCCCAGGGGATGCTTCCTTTTTGGGCTGAGTGCTGCTGTGTGCTCCGGGCTGCCAGAGGGGCAAAAGCATTGTGTTCCAGGGATGAGAACCCTCAGCCATAGCAATGGGCTTGCCCTTGCTGTGAAGACAAGGGCAACCATGGCAGATTTGGGGAGCTGTCTGCAAAGAAACGTGGCAGTGGGTCAATGGGCAGTGCACGAGTCTGCTGTAGGTGTTGTCCCCACATCTCCAGCAGCCCCAGTGCCGGCAAAGAAATCTCATTAATTTGATTTCTTCTAGATTATCGGAATAGTAACAAATGCCTCCTGAATCATGGCCTGAGCTGGACACGTTGTTGTCAGGAGACCTCCTTTGCAGCCTCTGCTTGGATGCAGCCATCCCAGCCATGGGTCCATGCAGGGGCCCCCAGGGCTCCCCTCCCTCTGTGGATGAGCAGCACCGCCGGGCAGCCGGGACAGAACTTGGCCTGAGCGTGGCTGCATATGAGAGGCAGGCCTGGTAGGATGTGACTAAGTGTCAGCTCTTCCGCATGAGAAAACAAGGCAACAAGCCATCTGATTTCCAAGGCAGAGCAGAAAAAAATAAACAGTAATTGTCCGCTTGCATCAAGCATGGCACTGGGAGCAGCGCTCCTAAGTGTGTGACAGAGCAGGGTGCTGTGAGCAAGGACTGGGCAACAGAAATACCTCTGGTGTTGGGACACTGCTGGGACACAGCGAGCACTGGGACAGGGGCTCCCTCCTTCCTCCCAGCAAGGCTTCATCTCCATCCTTACGCCTCCCTAGAGCAGATTTGGGCACCAAATCTGGGGTCAACTGGGGATATTTTGGGCCATGAGCACATGTAATACCCACGTCTCACTGGATGCTAAGACTCAAAGTGGTCTTGCAGGAGCCACTGGGCTGCCAGCACTTGACCCAAGCCCCCCTTCTCTGTATGGGTCGTGCGGGTGGTGTCTCCTCTTGAGGATCTGCCAGCAAAGGGAGGTTTCTCCGCCAAGGACCACCCCCTCGTCCTCCAGCTCAGTCTCTCACAGAGACGCGGTGGTGAGGGAGGTCCTGGCGGCTCCCACGCTCCTGCTCCATCTGTTGGGCGCTCCGCACTGAGAGCTGGGCTGACGAGCACCCATCTTCCTTGGCCACACATCCACTGCCTGCACGGAGCAGCCCAGCCCAGGGGCTCACTGGGTTTTGGGGACAGCGTGGGACAGATGCCCCATGTGCTTTCCTGCAGGGTAACTCCGGCCTCGGCTTCAGCATAGCAGGAGGGATCGACAACCCCCACATTCCAGATGATCCCGGCATCTTCATCACCAAAATCATCCCCGGGGGAGCGGCAGCCATGGATGGACGTTTGGGGTGAGTGTGCAGGGATGGGGATTTCACCATGCCTCCCGCTCCCACTGCACAGCTCTCAACCTGCTTTCTTCCAGTCCTTTCTCCTTGGGCAGGTCCCCTTTCCAGACATCCTCCTGCTATCAGCATCCCGTCTCCTCCCTGGCTCTGGCTCTTAACCAGTGCTGGATCCATCCTTCCCCCCTCTCCAGCATGTGGACTGCCTCCCCTGCTTCCCCCATAGCCTCCACCCCTGAGGAGGAACATTGCTGTCACCCCACATTTTGGCTCCGGCACATCCCAAAGCGCAGGACCCATCCAACTTAAGCAGCTCCCCTTGTGCAAGGGTCTGGGTGGCGGAGGTGACCGTGGTGGCACAGGGTTGGCGATGCTGGGGAGCTCAGGATCACACCGTGTCTGTAGGGTAAATGACTGCGTGCTGCGGGTCAACGACGTGGACGTCTCCGAGGTGGTGCACAGCAAAGCAGTGGAGGCCCTGAAGGAAGCAGGCCCCGTGGTGCGGCTCGTTGTGCGGCGCCGGCAGCCCCCACCGGAGACCATCATGGAGGTCAACCTGATGAAGGGACCCAAAGGTGAGCAAAGGGGCTGCGGCAGGGAGTCCCTCTGGCATGGGGGGTGTTGTGGGCTGGGATCCTGTGGGATAGGATGCTACAAGGGGGGATGCTGTGAGTGCAAGGTGTGGGGCAGCTCCGCATCAAAGCTCGCAGTGAGAAGGTGTCCCGTTGCCCAGGGTTGGCTGCGGCCAAACATCCCTCCTCTCTCTCCTCCCCTCCTGCTCATTCCCAGGACTGGGCTTCAGCATCGCGGGGGGCATTGGGAACCAACACATCCCTGGGGACAACAGCATCTACATCACCAAGATCATCGAGGGAGGCGCTGCCCAGAAGGACGGACGCCTGCAGATCGGGGACCGGCTGCTGGCGGTGAGCCCCAACCCACACCTCCACGCTTCTCCCCTGTCCCCTTTCCCAGCATCCCAACCAGGATGGGTCTGACCGCATCTTACTGTCCCTTTGCCTTGTGGCAGGTGAATAACACCAACCTGCAGGATGTGCGGCACGAGGAGGCGGTGGCTGCGCTGAAGAACACTTCTGATATGGTGTACCTGAAAGTGGCCAAGCCTGGCAGCCTGCACCTCAACGACATGTACGCGCCCCCCGACTACGCCAGCAGTACGTAGGCAGCAGCCCTGCACTGCAGGAACGGGGGGTTCCGTAGCAGGGATGGGGATGGCACACGCTGGAGCTGGGCTGGGCTCCACATCTACACTGAGGCCAGTTCCTGCTCCTGATGCCCATCTCCTCTCTTTGCAGCCTTTTCAGCCTTGGCTGACAACCACATAAGCCATAACTCTAGTCTGGGCTATTTGGGTGGTGTGGAGAGCAAGCCTGCATACCCTGCCCCCCCCACAGGTGACCCCCTCCAGGTATTCGCCCATCCCTCGGCACATGATCGGGGATGAAGACTTCACCAGGTGAGAACTGCAAATGGGCATCCCCATCCCTGCACCTTCTCCTCCTTCCCTTTCTCTGTCTGACCCAGTCCCTGCATCCTATCATGTGCTGAGTCTCTGCTGGGGCTGAAAGACTCCATTTGTGGGCTCCACGCAGGGAGGGAGGGGCTGGGGGGGTCATCTTGGTAGCGCCATATCTCCTTTTGCTGTGCTCACCAGTCCCAGGACAGCTGTACCCAGGCACTGTGAGCCCCAGGGCCAGTGCTGAGCCCACTTTGTTACCAGTGGGGCTAGGGCTGGATGCTATGTGCTCAGGGCTGATGCTCAGGTCAGGAGCAGGGCTGGCTCTGCTGTTATGAGCAAGGCTGCCATGTGGCATTGAAGTTGCAGCAGCCTCACCAGAGCTGGGATGGCCCCATTCTGTGGTGCTTTTGGATCCTAGAGCAGGAGGCAGGCAGGTCCTCTCGGAGACCCCCAGCCGTCACATCCACCCCATTGAGTTCTCACCTCCCAGTGCTAAGCTGGACCCTGCTGCATGCAGTGACCTCTCTGGATGCAGCCATTCATGTGCTGCCGGGCCACCACGGGAAGATGCAGTGCTGCAGGAGCTCCGCTTTCTCCATGTGCATTGCACCACCGAAGGGACTGATTCCCAGTGCCACCACTTCATCTGTCCCTTCTCTGGGACCCCGATCCCATTTATGGATCTTTATGGGCCAGAAAGGGACGAGAGCATCCTGACACCTGAAGCGTGGTGGGCACAGTGCAGCAGGAGGCCGCTAGAGGATGGTGCTGCCCTGCCGAGACCCCACTGCTGCCGAGCTGCTCCTGGCTGCTGCCTCCTTCCCTGCATGGACTGCTTGGAACAGAATCCCAGCATATCCTGAGTCGGAAGGGACCTACAAGGATCATCAGTCCAACTCCAGGCTACACAAAGGACCCCCAAAATTCAAACCCTGTGTGCAGCACTCAGGTCAAGGTGTCGGTGCCACAGTGTCCAGGATCCATCTGCAGGAACGTTGTCCTGCCCAGCGTGTCTGGAGCGCATACTGTGACTGAGAGCTGGGATACGAGATTCACCTCTCTGGGGCTTTGTTTCCTCCCCTTGGTTCCTGCAGCGTCTTTTACCTTCACCACTGGGCTCCAGCAGCAGGCAGTGCTCACACCGAGCTGACTCCCAGGCAGACACCAAAGCAGCAGCAAATCAAGGATGCGGGACTCAGCAGTGGAGCTGAGTGCTGGTAGCAGCCCTGGAATGTGGCTGAGCCTCTGTGGAACCCAGCGATCCCAGTGGGGTTTCCCCAGTCCTCTCCAGCACCTGTGCACCCCAGCCTGAGCCTTGAGCTCTGCTGAGCTCAGTATCTTCTGAAGGTCACAGGGGTCAGCCCCTGCCCCACCAGTGATACACAGCTGTAGGACTGAGTGCTGCTGGAAGGAGAGGCGGCCCCGGTGCAGCTGGGGGCAGGAAGGGGTTAAGCCCACAGGGTCTAACCGGCGCCAGAATGTCCGTCCTCTGTGCTTCCATAAAAATCCCGAGGGTGGGCATGGCATTGGGAAGCTGAGTGCCCCACGGCCACACCGGGTGGGAACAGAGGACAGAACCACGGGGTGAGAGCTTGGGGAGCTCCTGCCCCGTGCCACAATGTTCACCGTCAACGTCTCCTCCTCCATGTCCTACCGGGGACAGCCGTCCCCTTCCAGGCAGCGGCAGGGCCATGGGAGCAAGTGTGAGCCGAGGTACGGTGTGGGGACAGGGGCAAGGAGCTGAGAGGAGAGCTGGGAGGGTCTGGCAGGGCTGGGTGTCCGTCTGTCTGAATGTCCGTCTTCTGCTTTTCATGTTCCTTATAAGGTGACAGCCTGAGCTGTCCAAGCGACATTCAGTCCATCAGGACACCCAGCCCGGTGCATCCACCCCACACCAATGGTCCCAGTGCCGTGCCGGCTGCCAAAGCAAGGAGCTGCTGTCTGTCGTTCTGATGGCACTGATTTATTTTTTTTTCCTAGCTGAAAATCAACGCCGGATGGCTGCGGGGCCGGGCGGCCTTTCTGCCAGCGCCTGCCTATTGTTTGAGCTGCGCCAGAATTAAGTCACCGCCAAAAAATTCGGGGCTGCTCGTGTGCCATGCAGGGCTGTGCTGTGAACGTCCTGTGTGCAGCGAGGGGTGTGCTCACCCCATGCTGGCATCGTCCCCAATACCCTCACATGCTCTGACACTGCCACGTGCCACGTCCACGGCCCTCCGTCCCCATCTGTGCTCCATCTCGTGTCACCCCAAGCCCTCCTGTATCCCAGCACAAGTGGCCTCACTGTGATGTCCCCGTGTCTGTCCCTGCAGAGAGCCCCGGAAAATCATCTTGCACAAAGGCTCCACCGGCCTGGGCTTCAACATCGTCGGGGGAGAGGACGGAGAGGGCATCTTCGTGTCCTTCATCCTAGCCGGAGGCCCCGCCGACCTCAGCGGGGAGCTGCGGAGGGGAGATCGCATCCTGTCGGTGAGCTGCGGGACGGGAGGGGGCGGAGCTGTCCCGGGGACGCCGGTGTGTTGGGTACGGTGGGGCTGGGGGGGGTGCGGGGCTGCGGGCGCTGAGCCCAGGCACGGCGCTGTCCCCGCAGGTGAACGGTGTGAACCTCCGTAACGCCACCCACGAGCAGGCGGCGGCGGCGCTGAAGCGGGCGGGACAGACGGTGACCATCATCGCGCAGTACCGGCCCGAAGGTACCGGCGGGGCGGAGCCTAGTATGCAAATGAATGACCGCGGGGCGTGGCCTGTGTAAATAAGGGGGTGGTGCGCTGTATGCAGAGAGAGGGGCGGGGCTCTGCGCTTGGACGAGGGGGGCGGGGCGGTGACTGGCGCGCGGAGAGAGCGGGCGAAGGGGGAGGCCCGGCGAGGCGCTGATTGGCGCGGAGAGGGGCCGGGAGGCGGTGCCCGGAGGGAATGCGGGCGATGATTGGGCGGCGCGGCGGGGGGCGGAGCGACGGCGTCCCGCCGGCTGTGCCTGCGCGGCTTTGTGTGCGGGCCGGGCGGCTCGGGGGCTGCTGTCGGGGGCGCCGCCGCCTCCCACCGCGCCGAGCTGCAGGTGAGCGGGGCTGCGCGTTCCCCGCCCGCCGTCCGGTTCTCGCCTCCCCTCCTCCCGGAACGGGGCGGGGGTCTCTTTGCCGGGAGCGAGGCCGGCGGGGAGGCTGGGCCCCGCCGGTAGGGGGTCGACTCCGCTGGGGTCGCCGGAGAGGCGTCGGTTGGGACCTCTCCAGCTGTCGGCCCCGGGGCCTGAAAGAGGGAACAGGGCCGCCTCCCGTGTGCCGCTCCTCCGGTACGTGGTGCGGGCCGGGCCTTGGGGGGCTCTCGGTGCGGCTGCGAGCATCCCAGGGCCGCGCTCCAAGTAGGGCGCGGGCAGCACCCCGGCATTACCCTAACAACAACGCTTCCTTAGCGCCGGCCTCTAATTCACCCGGCGGAGGCGTCGATGCTGCCGGGAGGCGCCCGGGGGGAAAACCCCCGTGGGGCGCTGAGCCGCTCTGTGCCCGCGGCGGACAAAGAACTGCGCCCGGTTGGTCTCGCACCGCGCCGAGCCCCGCATCGCTCCGGAGCCGCGTGTCGCTGCGCTTTGTGCCCCGTCCCGGCGGAGCGGGGCCCTCCGGAGCCGTTAGTGCCACGCACGGGTGTGCTGTGGGTGTGGTTTTGTTTGTTTTGCTTTCTTTCTTTTCGTGTTGTGTTTTGGTTTTTGTTTTTTTTTTTTTCTTTCTCCTTCTTTCCAGGAAGCGTTTCACGTTCTCGTATTTCTGGCTCTGTTCCCCACTTGAGATTTGGCGTTGACGCGAATGAGAGCAGTTTCTAAATGTCAGATGGGACGAAATGTTTTGGAAGCCCTCTGGAGTCGGGTTGAGGTGTCGGTGCTTTGGAGCTGCTGCTTTCTGGCCTGTGTTCTGCTATGGCAGTGATGTGCAGCAGTGCCTGGCATTTGGGTGCTGTTGCAGTGATGTGGGGCTGCAGAACCCCACTGTGTGCTGCGTGGTCTGTGCAGGTCACACCTACAACATAGGTGTGCTCCAGCTGTGATCTGGTTTGGTCCCACCTCCGCGCAGCTGTGAGGCTGCTTCCATCAGTTTTGGGTGTGAGGGCCTTCCTGGTGGGGCCCTGTGAGCACAGAGCTGGGGAAGGACGGCGCTGGGAGCTGCAGCCTCTGTGCCTGGCGCTGACCCAGAGCTGCAGTGAGATTGTTCCGTTCCACGCTGCTCTGGGCTGTCTGTGAAGTCCCTTCTTGCTGAGTGTGTCTCCCTGTGGACTTTGCTATTAGCACTAGCGATGGGTTTGGCAGTTCCACCTCCTTGAAGCCCTGTGGAGTGAAGCTTCGATATCCTTTGCTAAACTTGGCGTGGTCACGCAGTGTGCTGCTGGAAGGGGCCTGCAGAGACCTCACTGCGACTTTCAGGAGTTGTAATGCTTGCTTTGTCTCCGTGCTTTGACACAGCTCAGAGCATGCTCACTCTGTGCTCACAGTGAAAGGCAAGCCATTGAGCTCACCATGGGGTCTGCATGGGCTGCAGCTGGAAGGCCTCTGGGATGCGCTCATGGCTGCCCGGCCCATGCAGGTTGTTCCTGCACCTAAAGCAGCACACGTGCACCAGGCTTTGTGTATGCTTAGGGATTGCTCTCTGCTGCTCTCTAACAGCCCTTTCTCCCCTTGCACTCTTTGCAGAACAGCCACACAGGGGATCAGGGCCAGAGCCCTGTGTGGGGTGGGGGGCAGCAGCCCCACTGCGCTTCAGCTCCGCTGCTGTACAACGACTCCATTTGCTGGGTTTGTTTGCCATAGAAACAGCAGCTCTGTAGGGAAATGAGCTCGGGGATGGCAGCGAGCATTGGTCTGGGTGGAAGCGAAGCCAGCGCTATTGAAAACAGGATGTGTTTTGCTCTGTGAGGGCAGAGAGGCAGAGAGAGCAGCAGACAATGGCCCTGTGGATGTCTAATCCCAGAGCTTTGCAACCTGGGCAGCCCAAATCCCTTTGGGCTTTCTCGTGGAAGAATGCAGAGGCCAAAGGTTCCTCTGGGGATGAGATGGGGGCTGCTCTGTGCCCCGTGGGCTCAGGGCCCTCCCCGGGAGCTCCTGCATGGGGCAGCCCTGGAGCAGGGAGGGGCATAAGAGCGCTGTGTCACTTTGTCAGCTTGCAAGGTGGTGAGAAGAAAGTGCTGCTCCTGCTGGCGTCAGGTCCTCTTGCAACAAGAGGAGTGAGTTCACCTGTTGCATATTTTCAGTGTTGATAAGGGTGTCCTGAATGCATCCAGTGCTGTGGGAGCGTCAGAGGTGGGGATTAGCAAAGAGCTGCTGATGTTCACCTCCCTGCTGTACAGCGGGCGTGCTTCCCAGGTGAGGATCTGCCACGCAGCAGCTCTGCTTCCAGGATGCAGAGGCAAAGTGGATAGGAGCCAGTGGGCAGAGATAGAAGTTCTGCTTGCGGGAGGCTATCTGCTGATAATTGTTGGGGAGGCTGTTTCAGCATGCTGATAAGGGGGCCCCCCCTTATTGGTTGCAGCCAAGTGCTCACTCCCAGGGTAACCTTGCAGGAAGGCTCCAGCTGTGCTTTCAAAGCTCGATGTTGGAGGCAGTGCCTGCTGGCACATGGGGTTCCTGTATCCTGTTAAGCTGCAGCCTGTGCTACTCGGGGTGCTCAGCATTGCAGCTTGCCTTCTTTCTCCTGGGGGGAAGCCTTTGAGCATCACACAGCATGTCAGGGAAGGTGGCAGCCCCATCTGCAGGACACGGCTCAGTTGAGGAGCCCCAGCAGTGAGCTGCACCTCCCCCTGCCTGCACAGGAGCATTCTCCACAGCAGCTTCCCCGTAAGAGCCAGGCAATTGCACCCTGTGTATGAACTTTCACGTCATGGAGCGTTGCCCATGAAATTTTAACGTGCCTCTGAGCATCTGTACAACAGTGCTGACTTACATTAGGCAAATCCATCTGCTTTCTTTCCCTCCCCCTGCCCTGGGCTGCCTGCCTCTTCCAGTGTGAGCGTTACGGGGAGAAGCAGCAGCAAGGGTGGATGCAATGCTTCTTATGGGGTGCAGCAAATTCAGCAGATAGATGGGCCAGGAGAGCATGGGTGCCCCTGAGCCACGCAGAGGGGCTGTGAGAGTAGCGATTGCAGGGCGAGCTGCTGTCTGAGAGCTGCAAAGAGGAGGAAACCTGGCTTGCTTAACCCTTCTGGTTGAACACCCTGCGAGGAGAGCGCAGCAGCAGGCAGCCTGCAGATGGCTCGTCAAGCTGTCCCACACGCAGGTTCACATTGCACCACATATGCTGGCGTTTGGGGTTTGAAGCAAACCAGCAGAGCAAGCTTCAGAGGCTGGGGCTGCAGCGCAGCTCCTCTGTGTGAGCGTGGAGTTTTTGTGTGCGGGTTGGGGTTTGTGGTGCATCTTTTCTTTTTTTTTTTTTTTTTTTTTTTTTTTTTAAATTAAAAATGCAGCAGTTCTGTACAGAAGGGAAATCCTTAACTGGCTCTGGCTGCACAGTTTAGGGCTTGATAGCCAAGAAATGCCGACCCATAGTTGCATAACCCCACCGTGTGCCTGCACTGAAGGAGCAGTCTCTGCGCATGGTTAGGGGCTTTCAAACACAGCCTGCTGTGCACCAGGACGTGGGATGTGTCTGCAGAGTGTGTACAGACAGGGACAGAATTGGTGAGCCCAGGTGCTTGGTGTGACTTGTGGCACTGCTGGGGGCTTTCATAACCAAAAGTTTTCCACGTATCTCCAATCCTGGGAAGTTTTGGCAGCGCCTTTCCTGTCTACCCTGGGTGAGTGGGGCTGCTGCCTCCGCCCTGTGTGCTGGGGCCGACCTTTACACCCAGCTGAAGGTCGCAGCAGCACAGAGGGAGGAGCTGCAGGTGGTGGCAGCTCCCGTCCTGCTGCTGCCGGAGGTGTTGGTGGCTTCTGAGGGGTCTCGCGCTGCTTGGGATGTAGGTGAGGACAGGTGAATTCTTCCTTTCCCTTCCTAAGGCCGCGCTTTGTTCCCCATCCCAAGCCACAGGCAGGCTGGGGACTGCCACCGAGCTGAGGGCCGTGCTGCACGGCCATGCTGTGTTGGCCTGCAGCTGATGGGCCCCTGTGAGGTCTCACTCTTTCTGCATTTTTTTGAAGTGCTCCACAAGGCGACCTCAGCCCTGGGACAGGAGTGTGCAGGGCAGCTGCCAGCACTCCTTGTTTGTGTATGAGGAAGGATGGGTTCGTGGGCAAGATGCCCTGTGGGCAGGCTGTGGCTGCCTCTCTTGGTGCTTCCTGGGTTCATCTGGCTGTGGGCTGGTGGCAGAGACCTGGGGGCAACCCCGGCCTGCACTGACCCTCTGTCTCCCCACAGAGTACAGTCGCTTCGAGTCCAAGATCCACGACTTGAGAGAGCAGATGATGAACAGCAGCATGAGCTCTGGCTCTGGCTCACTTCGGACAAGCGAGAAGAGGTCCCTGTATGTCCGGTAAGACCCATCCCATGTCTCTGTCAGTGCCATCTCCAGATCTGAGGCCACTTGCTGCCTTCACAGATCGAGGAGGAAGAGATCACCCTCCTGAGGGAGGGGTCATTGGGTGCATGTAACCATGTGGGACCCACTCCTGTTTTGTCACAGTTCCGGCCAGGAGACCCATTCCTGAGTGCACATGCAAGGGCTGTGCAGTGCCTGGCTGTGGGATGCAGGTGCTCACAGGCTGCACTTTCCAGGAGGTGCCTGTGTTTCCTCTGGGTGTGCCCAGCACTTGGGAACGAGGAAGGAGAATGTGTCACCTTGCAGACGAGCAACTCATCCATGGGCCAGGGCACCCACAGCAGCCAGGATTGCATCCTTGCACCTGGTGGGCATTGCACCTTTCAGAGGACGTGTTGCCCTGCTGCTACGAGGCGAGGGAAGCAAGCTTTATAAATAAGGCATGGAGCTCGGAGAGTTACAGCAGTGGGTTTGGCACTCTTTCGTCAGGGCTGAGTGCTCTGCACTTAAATACCTTTTAAACAGGCAGCTGTGCAGAGAGCTGGGCTGTGCTGCAGCCAGGCAGCTGCGTCCCAGGGTGAGCTGTTGGGGATGGGGAGGTCCAAGGGAGGATGCAGGCAGCGCTCTCCTCTACCCGCTCTGTGCTAACTGGCTTCTCTGTTGCTGCTCATGCAGCGGGATCTGGCTGGAGGGGAGATGAGCTCTTAGGAGGATTATGGCTTTGATTCCAAGTTGTGCTTTTGGTTCAGAGCCAGGCACGGAGCAGGCAGGGGTTAAGCAGCCGCATGGCGCTGGCTCCGTGACTGCTGCATGCCCCACGCCCTGCTGGCTGTTGCCCCTGCCATCTCCCGGCTGGCTGCAGTGAGAAGCAGTGTGGTGGCAGCTAATGAGCAATTGTAATTTGCTTATTAAAATAATCCTGCAACTCCTCACCTTGGGTTGCGGGTGAAGGTTGGCAAAGCAAGGGATGCTTCTCTTTCCCTGCAGGGAGGATGGTGAGAGCTGAGGCTGCGTGTCCTGCAGCAGAGCTGTGCTTTGCAGGAGGGTTTGGGAGTGCAGGGACCTCGCGTCCAGATCGACACGGGGCAGAGCCGCGTTCTGTTCCTGCAGCTCGCAGTTTCACAAGGCACTGCTGGATTTCTGATCTGCTGCCCTGCTGACACCCTCAGCCGTGAGCGTGTGAGAGCTGCCCCAGCCCTTCTGGGTGGGGTGGTTTCGAGCACGGGTTGCCTGAAACCAGCCAAGCCGCTGCCTTGTGGACAGGACCTCAATTATGGGACGTGCTACCAAACTGCTCGAGTCAGCACCGCCCGGTCGCAGGGTGCATGGGGCAGCGTGGGGCCTGCTGCTCACAGCCCACCTGGGCAGGGCACGCTCCTGGCGCTGCTGCAGGGCAAAGTCCACCAGCAGCTGGGCCGGGAAGGGGCTGGGCTGGCTTAGTGCTGGCTCTGCAAGCAGGCCTGGTGCTGCTCCATTGCCCTGCGGCCAGGCTGCTGCTCCTGCAGGGGATGATGGGGCTGTGTGGAGGAGGGCTTGGCCTCACAGGGCTGCTGTTTGGCTCCAGCAGGCCAGCTTCTCATCCACCAGCACTGTGTTCCCCATGCAGGCACTGAGGGGAGCAGGGCCAGGCCTGGGCAGCGGGCGTCTTGTAGCTGGGAGCTGACAGGCGGGCAGTGGGGCTGAGGGTGCTGCTGGCTCCGGAACCTGCCCGGCCGGTTCTCTGCTCTTTCCTTCCTCCTAATTGCATTCTCCTCACTCTTAATGGCGCTGGTCTGGCTGGGGCGTGCCAGCCACGCACGCAGCCTTATCTTTTGGCAGGGAGCAGTGCCTGGCAGGGCTGCTTGCCTCCAGCTGAAGGGCCCCGCGGTGCTGCACTGCCGGCTGCCACGTGCTGTGCTCGGGGCCATGCGTGTTTCTGTCCTCCTGTGGGGCCAAGCACAGGAGCCTCTCAGCAACGGCCCGAGTAAGCTGGAGAAAGCAGAGCAAGCTGGTGGCTGCATCAGCAACCTCAGGGCTGCATCAGCCCGTCAGGCCTTGGCACAGAAAGTTCCCTGTTCTCCTGGTCCTGGGTCACCGTGCTCGAAGAAGGATGTGACCCAAGAAGAGCACATCCAGCTCACTGCTTAGTGCTCCACTGCTCATCTGCGTCCCGGTTGAAACCAGCACAGGGCTACTGCAGGAGCTGGCTCTGTGCCTGAGCCTTCATTTCAGCCCTGTGGATGAGATCTGGCACCTGAGCTCACCATCCTGATGCAGGCAGGTGCTGGTGCCTGGGAGGCAGAAGACGTGTGGTGATGCTGAGTCCCAGGATGCTCACAGGGGCAGTTCCTGTGATAAGCTTCTCTCTGATCTGGAAGATGAGCTGGTGCTTTGCAGTTGCACGCTGACTCTGCTGCCAGAAATAAGGACCTGCGGGTAGATCTGCTTAGTCAAAGGTGGATCGCTCCATAGCTGCTCCTGCAGTAGCTCTGCATGGGGTTATAATATAGCCAGTCAGGATGAGTAGGAAAAACTGGGAACTGGGAACGGTGGCAGCTTTCACAGCAGTGTGAGAATTGGTGCTGCTCTTCTGTTTCCCAGGAGAGTGGAGCCCCAGCTCACCTGGAGCCACTGCAGGGAGGGAGATCTATGCTGACCCTCTGCCATGCTGGCTAGGAAGAGAGTTCTTATTGAATGTGGTAGAGAAGCAATTTTTGAGAGAGCCAGCTAGACAGCTCGCCCTGCAGGAGGCTGGTGCACAGCGCCTGTTGCTTTTACTATTTATGGAGCCACAGTTAAAAGGATTCAGCTCGACAATCAGTGTGATTTGTGCTGTGTTGCTTCAGACCCCCTCGGGGTTCCTCGTAGTGGAAGGAGGTGATGAGCAGGGCAGAGGGTGGTGTTACTATGGCTTTCCCCCTTTTCTGCCTGGATGAGGCTGGCAGCTGGCTCAGAAGCACTCAACGTGCCCCACACTGCCTGGGGGAGCAGTGGGGCTGACCTCGTGGGGGTGAAAATGGGGCTCCCAGTTGTGCTGCCAGCAGCAGTGCTCCGAATGGCTGCTCAGCTGTTTCCATTCGTTGCCGAATGGACGTGTCTGGAAAAATAGGTCTGCTTTGAGATCAGACATTGGGAGAATGAGGCCCCTGAAAGCAGCTTGAGGCAAAGGGCTGCAGTGCAGGCAGGCGATAAGGCTCCAGTCACTTGCACAGGAAGAGCATTAGTGCTCCTCTTCCTTAGTTTAAAAAACAATCATCTTTTCTGCAGCTGGGTAATTTAATATTGGAGATGAAGCTCTTTTACTGTAAGTAAGTAAGCTGTTCTTATGGGAAGTATTTAAAAATCTGAAATAGCTGTAGAATCAGGTAAACATCGAGTTGCGTTCATAATTCACAGACCTCTGGAATGAAATACCTCTACACATAAATGAAAGCGAAGGCTGTGCGTGCCCTGCAGCCCGTTGGTGTGACTTCTTCCAGCAGCAGGGCACGATCACCTCCTGGCCATCTCACAGCCTTGTTGTCATGGCACAGGGCAGGCTCTCCATTCCCTTCTGCTGGCTCACAGCTTTGCTATGGATGAAGGGTGCTGGGTCTCGCCCCCTGAACAGAGCAGCTGGGTTTTCCCTCATGTGCTGCTTTCCTGATGGCCAGCAGGGAAGGAAACCTTGGGGTACCATTTATGACATGTTATATTTTCGAGGCCGCTGAACTTTGAATGTTTGACTGCTTTCTGACCACAGCCTTCTTCAGCATCTGTGTTGTTTGTGTGCTGCTTGCAGCTCATGTCAAGAGCTGGTTTATTGGTCCAGGGCTGTCGTTTCTGTGGGGGGTTCATGGTGAGCACTTCATTCTGGGCCTTATGAGGTCTGCAGTGCTGTTGCTTGCTTGGTAGGGGAGGGCTTCACTCCTCTTTGTGCTCCTTTGCAGAGCTCTGTTTGACTATGACCGGACCCGGGACAGCTGCTTACCCAGCCAGGGGCTCAGCTTCTCCTATGGGGACATCCTGCACGTCATCAATGCCTCTGATGATGAGTGGTGGCAAGCCAGGCTTGTGACACCTCATGGTGAGAGCGAGCAGATAGGAGTCATCCCCAGCAAGAAGAGGTGAGTGCCCATCAGCAGGAGCTGGCTCACGTGGTGCTTTGGTCCTGTGAGCCTCAGGACCCAGCTTCTGGATCTGTTCTGTGTGGCAGATCTGGTGGTATCAGCATGAGGAATATGTGCAGCATTATGGGCATCCCAGGGGCTAGCAGCATCTCTCTCCCTTTTAACTTCCAATCAGGGTGGAGAAGAAGGAGAGAGCGCGGTTGAAAACAGTGAAATTCCACGCCAGGACCGGCATGATAGAATCCAACCGGGTGAGTGCTGAGCGGGCTCAACAAGATGGTGTGCTGTATGGGGCAGGGTGAGTCCGAGCAGCTCTGTGCTCCCATGGAGGGCAGCCAGAGCTGTCCCAGGGCAAGGAGCAGTGCAGTGGACTTTCTCAGGCACGGCTCCCCTCGGCAGCGTGCGGGGTGGGAGCAGAGCAGCTGGGGCAGCTGTGAAGGTGCTGATGAAGGACTGTGGTTTGGTAGCGGGGCGTCCTCACGGTGGCAAGGGAGCAGAGCACGTCCCAGCACAGCCCCGGGCAGAGCACTGATGGCTGGGAGCTGACTGAAGGTGCCTGGTGCTGGCAGAGCTTCCCTTGCATGGAGTGAACGGATGAGGCAGGGAGAACAAGCCGTGCTCCTCCTGCAGAGGCTCACCAGCTTCCCACCATCCCTAAAACACATTTTTCTCCGCACTTAATTTTTTTTTCCCTGCATTGCAGTTTTCATGTAATCTCCATGATTTCATTTCAGGGTAACCGCCCTGACACGGCTCCTCATTGTCTCTTCATTTTAATTTTCCTCGCATGCGTTAAACGCCATTGTTTTTTCTGTCCTCCCTTCCATCTCCATCTTCTTCACAGTCGATCAAAACGAAACGTAAAAAGAGTTTCCGCCTCTCTCGAAAGTTCCCATTTTACAAGAGCAAAGAGAACCTGGCCCAGGAGAGCAGCGGACAGGAACGTAAGTAGCAGCTGGCCAGAGAGGGCAACGTGCAACCCCCAGAGCCCCACCTCCTGCCTCGGGTAGGGGAGATTTGCCACGTTCCCATAGCCAGCGAGCCCAGTACCTGCCTGCATTGGCCAAACTGTGCTGCTCCTGCCAGGCAGGCTGAGGCCATGCAGGCTGAGGCCATGCACGTGCCCTGCTGTACCACCAGGCTGCCCTCCCAGCCACCGTCAGGCATGGATGTGGCCCAGGGCTTGGTCAGGTTCTGTGCCCATCAACCCTGCTGGCAGCTAAGGAGCAGCCTGAGCCTGAAAACAAAGCAGCAGCTCCCACACCACTTGGGGTGGATGCCAACCGAGTGAGGGACCTCCTGCTGCATTTCATGTCCCTGTGCACCCGCTGAAGTACCAGGCATGAGTGCCCTGTGCAGGCAGGCTCACCCAGCTGCTGCAAGCCCAACTGCCTCTGGCCGTGTCTCTGCACAGGCTGGCTCTCTCTTTCTCTCTCTCATGTTTGATGTCTTCATCCTTTCATTACTTTACACTTGCCTAAACTTCTGCTCTGCCTCCTCCTGCTCTCTCCCATATGCTGTGGGCTCTGCTCTCTCCCTGTGCCTGCCAAGGGCTGCTCCCCTTCCAGAGCAAGGGGTGGCTGAGCAGTGCAGGAGCTTGTCCCTTGTCCTGGGCTGAGGGGGAACATCCTGGCTGTGCTCACTGTCTCCCATAGAAGTGACTCTCTGCTACCTATTCCTGACAGTCTCCAAGCCCTTCCTTTAGGTGAAACCCCATGGCCATGAGGGATGTGTGCGCTTGCTGGCAGAAGCACTGCCCACACTCAGCAGCTGAGGCACGTCTTGGCTGCAGATTTTGGGGAATACCCAGCTCTCACCCAGGGCTCCCAGTGATGGCAGGCTGTGCCGCAGCTCCCCTCTCCCTGGCAGGCAGGGCTGTGCACAGACACATCTCGTGTGTAGAAGAGGATGGGAGGAGGGGGTGGGGGTGTAACCTCGAGGCACCTCCAGGCTTGAGAGCTATGCTGAGTGTTCAGCTCGTTGCTCCAAGTCCAGACATCAGGAATGCTGGAGCCTGCAGTAGGTACCCAGGGAAAACTGAGAGGCAGCTGCACAGCTCCTCTGGAACAAACTCCAGCGCAAGGATGAAACAGCCTGCTCTTGCTGGGTTAGGTGAGCAGTTGTGCCCAGCCTTTCCTGTTTCCAGGAGCTAAATTGCATCCGCTCCTTCAGTGAGTGTTCACAGAGAACGCTGCAGGCCTTGTGTTTTTGGGAAGAGGAGAGTAAGTGGGCAAGGCAGAGCAGTGTCCGTGCCCAGGTGCCAGCACATTGTGTGCTCCCTTCCGGTGCCCTCCTGGGCTTGGCAGAGAGCAGCTGGAACCAGGTGCTGTGGGGCAGTGCCCACTTCCTTCAGCCAGGCTGCATGAAGGTCTCAGTGACAGCCAGCATGGCGGCTGTAATGATGTGTGAAGTCTGTGTGCTCAGATTCCTGCAGGGCATGTGGCTGGGCTCACAGCATTCGCTGCCTGTGGCATGCTGGAGAGACACTGATGGAACAGACTTCGGCCATAGGAAGCTTTTCCTGTCCTGGTTCCCCTTGTTTTGTTGTGGAGCGTGGGCACCTTGCTCTGCATGCAGGACGTGGCCATGGCTGGTGGCTGTGGGAAGCAGTGAGGATGTGACCTGTGCTGGAGGTGCTATAGCAGCAGAGAACAGGAGGGCATAGGGGTGCTGATGGAGCACAGCTCGGTGCCTGCAGCTGAAGGTCACCGAGGCACTGTTCTTGGCCAGCCCTGCAGTGCAGGACATATGGCATGGGCATGGGGCGGGCTGTACTCTTTGCCAGCAGCATCAGAGCAGCCTGCAGGCAGCTCCTTTGCCAGGCTCTGTTGTGCTGCCCATCCTGTTGCACTGCTTGCAGCAGGGGGAACCTTTCTCTGTCTTTGCAGACTGTGCAAGTGTTGGGGTGTGGGCAGCTCATGCACACAGGTGGGGAGAAGCATCCCCTGGCCATGCTGATAGAGGTGTGGCAGTGCTCTTTTCCCCTCCAGAGGGGCCTAGGGGAGAGCAGAGCTTCATGCTGCAAAAGACCGCGTGAGGCTGTATGGAGAAATGCCTTGGGGCTGTGAAGCTTCAGGGGACCCGTGATGGCCTCAAGGTGCAGCCAGAGGGGTGTGAGGGTCTGCTGGGGGGGTCAGCAGCGCGTGGTGAGATGTTGGTGCTCCGCTGCCAGTGTCACCACAGAGAAATGTTTCTTAACATCACTTGCAGTTACAGCTCTGGGCCGTTCTGCACTCCTGTCACTAATGCTCATCTGGCTCTGTCTTCTTCTCCCCCTCCTCTCTGACCGCCCCTCTCCTGCGCTCTTTTCTCTCCCCCTCTCCCCCTTCTCGCTGTCTGTGAAATCAGGACTTCCCTGGGTTAAGTGACGATTATTATGGAGCAAAGAACCTGAGTAAGTGGAATTGCAACGCGCATCGTTCGCTTTCCATTGCCAGCACACGCGGGGGTGCCTGATGGCTGTGCTTCTCTGGGTGCAGGGCACGAGGAACCCCGTGGGTTTGGTTGCCTCTCCCAGCAGAGGGCTCTGGAGGTGCTGCATTGGGGAGGGGATGGGCAGTTTGCTTGGGGGATTTGGCTGTGCCCTAAGCACACGCAGGGGCCTGCCCAAGGCACCCTCGGGAGCAGGTGCAGGCATGGTGCCATCTTCCTTTGATGGTACATGATTGCCCACGTGCCCAGAGCTCCTTGGCTGCTCTCCCCAAACCCTGCGGAGCTGCGCCGAGTGGGGCGGGCAGCAGGGCAGCAGCACTGGGAGGTCACAGCACTGGGATCAGCCAAAGCAAAGCGAAGCCCCGAACTCTGTCCCATCCTGTCACTGTCTCGTCTCTGTGAGTCCCGGCCCCTCTCTGCAGGTAGCTCCCCACCCCTGCCCTCCATGTGCATGCTGCACCCTGCCAGCCCTGCCTGCAGCCCCGCTCCCAGCACCTCCCCCACCTCTCAGCATAGCCGAGCAGAAGAGGTTCCCCTGCACATCCCCTATTTCCCCTGAGAGGGACAAAGGGCGAGAGCTGCTTGTCCTGCCCCAGCACCCTGCTCCCAGCCCTCCCCATGGGTGCCAGGGTGCATTTCTGGTGTTGTGCCACCTGGCTGCCCTGCTCTCAGCCACCAGCACTGGGTGCCAGCTCGTGTGCCCTTGGTGAGCGCTGGCTCTGAAGATGGTCTCTCTGGTTGCTTTGCAGAGGGCGTGACATCAAACACCAGTGACAGCGAGAGCAGTTCCAGTAAGTGTGTGTCTCTCCTGCTGTCTCACCTCTGTGTGTGTGTGTGTGTGTGTGTGTGTGTGTGTGTGTGTGTGTGTGT